CACGACCTGATGTAAAGGGGCTGCCCCCAGCTCCCAAGTTTAAATCCTCTCTAGTTCAGGCTCTCCGGGCTTCATCATGTCAGTTTTGATCCTTATTCCTTGGGTGAGATCATGAGATGGGCCCTTGGTAGCTCAAGAGTAGCCTGGCAGTGTCTTATGTCCACGTGCCGTGCTGGGGGCATCCAATTTATTGCAACTGCTTTGGAGAGCAATTTGGCATTGTTTAGTGAAGTTGAAGACGCTTCAGCCCCATGGCTCATGGTCCTCTCTCTGCATATGTGCGTGTGTTCCAGAAAACCATCCTGCCGTGCATGTGCAGCCGTGTAACCGTGGTTTGTTACATTGTTGGTAACGGAAAAATGTTAGGGACAATAGGAGCCTGGATGAATAACACATCATGGCTTTTTATGTAAAGGAGTGTACGCAGCAGGTAAGATGAGTGTATGAGGTTGACCCATATGGTGTGGTTTCACCTAACACTAGAGCGATATATGCTGAGTGGAGAAAGCTGAATGTATAGCTGAGAGGAAAAAAATCAAAAAAACAAAAAAAATGATTAAGTTGCAGAGGCAGGCTGGGTGCAGTCACTCACGCCTGTAATACCAGCACTCGGGGAGACCAAGGTGGGAGGATTGGTTGGGCCCGGGAGTTCAAGGCCAGCCTGGGCAAATGGCTAGACCTCATCTCTAAAAAAAATATGTGTACCTGTAGTCCCAGCTACTCAGGAGGCTGAGGCGAAGGGGTCGCCTGAGCCCAGGAGGTCGAAGCTGTTGTGAGCTCTGATCACACTACTGCACTCCAGCCTGGGTGATAGAGCAAGACCCTGCCTCAAAAAAAAAAAAAAAAATTGCATAAGTATAACACTACTTACATAAAGTCTAAGTGCCTGTTAAAAAGTATTTATATAATAATAATGGGAACAAGTGTTAGTAAAAATACAAAAAAATTTAAAACAGTGTAACATTTTATCGTGGGTATAAAAGTGTAATTCACCATACACGAATATGAGAGAGTAGGTTACGTTTAGCACCATAGTTACACACTGGCCCAGAGTCAGCATTTACTTACTTGTTTTTTGAGACAAAGTCTCTCTCTGTCACCAGGCTGGAGTGGCACCGTCACTGCTCAGTACAGCCTCAATCTCCTGGGCTCGGGGGATCCTCACAAGTGTGAGCCACCACACCTGGCTGATCTATGTATTTTTTGTACCAAAAATGGGGTATCACCATGTTGCCGAGGCTGGTCTCAAACTCTGGAGCTCCAGTGATCCTCCCAGTTAAACCTCCCAAAGCACTGGGATTACAGGCATGAGCTGCCGCACGCGGCCAGCTTTTACCTACGTTTAGTTACAAGTCTTTTCTTTTTCTACCTAAGTGATTTAATTGTGAAAAATAAGTCAAAGTATTCTAGCAACATAGTACTAAAACCACTGTGTCTATGTCAAGGTTTGTAATTTATTTGTCTACAGTTACTATTTGTGTGGAAGTTCCTTAGCATGTGTGTGTGAACAACATGCAGAAGAAAGCCAGGATTCTGTCCAGCTTTGGATTCTGCCATTTGTGATAGTTCAGCTTCTGTTGAATTATAAATGATGAGTGTTCCAGTGACTCTCTTTTCTGTTACACAGTTTCTACACCAGGAAGCTACCTGCTACCTGTTCCTGACAATAGTATTCACACGGGGGAGTTGTGATTTTACTATAATGCTTCCTTTAAGGAGACTTCTGTTAACATGTAACAGAAATGGAATGCTGATATTTAAATGTTTATCCTGTACTTTGACACTTGGGAAATCAAGTATGTCATATAGGAGAGTGTTCCCTGGCTTTTAGTAAACGTTTGCCACAAGTGGTTTGGTTATTTACAATGAATACCCTCTCATAATCATGGCTGTTGTACAGCTGTTGCACTGTCTCAGCTTGAAAGACTGAACGTGGACATTCATTGAAGATGAGAATAATGTAGCTTAGGGATAAAGCCAAAAAGATTGCTTTGGTCATTTTTTTTTTTTGAATGGAAAAGCACAGACAGTATTATTGGGTCTGTTTCCTGTTATCTGATCAGTTTTAAGAGTTCCAGGTAGAAATAAGACATATAAGTCAAGGCTTAGGAATAAGAAATAAGACGGTAGAGGAAGCATATTCCAGTCATGTGGATCTTTCCTGGTCTACAGGTAGAGAACCACATTGTTTACCAGCAAGCGAATGACTCGGAACAAAAATCTGCCTGTGCCATGGATTCAGAGTGGAGGAGGACTGACGCCACACCACTGTGGGGGTGCATTGCACAACATGGGACAGTCACCATGGGAGAGGAGGACTGAGCCTCTAGTTGTTTACAGCACGCCACTGTGGGGGCCATCGCACAGCATGGGAAGGTCACCATGGAAAGCGACTTGCTTTCACAGGGAAGCGTGTGCTGGGGAGCAGTGAGATGGGTGCAGCCTCTTTGCTGGAGCCGCAGGTGCAGTCTCCACAGTAGCATCTGCCTCGTGGGATTTGCCTCAAGATGGTCTTATGGTGTGGGGTAGGAAGTGGTGGGAAGAGGCGGGTGTCAACCTAAACAGACAGGCTGTGGCTTGACCATTGTTAAGCCTGGGTGATGGGGACAGTGAGGGCTCACCCATAGTATTCCTTCTACTTTTGTATATGTTTACAGTTTTCCAAATAAACAAAAATGAGGTGACTTTGAATCTAGAACCTAAAGTTACTGACAGAGCAGGGAGGTGTGAGATGCCCTGAGAGCCACGTGGCACCTCCAGGGTGGGGTGAAGCACTTTTATGGCCCCGGGCTCAGGGCCACAAGCGCAGTCTGCAGCTCAGTTTCAGCTCTCCGCCCCTCCTCCCCACCCCCTCCATGGGTATTTGGGTGAATGCACAGTCAACGACTTAACGTGGTCATGCTTCATTCCATCATTCCTGGCCCTGCGCCTCTGAGACTGCACAGTTGAGAAGACAAGGCAGATAGCCACAGGGAAGCAGTGAGACCCCGGGCCCAGCGAGTGGGATTTAGTTTGCCCAAGTGAGCGCTTGGAGGCAGGGAGGGAGCAGGCTGTGGGCCCGAGAGGCGGGGCTGGCACACACGGGAATAGATCCTCTGTCTAAGAGAGGGAGTCCCTGCAAGGGGAGTCTGTGGGGCCTGGCCTGCGTGGCTGGTGGGGCTCCGCAGCACAGCTCCTCCCCCATCCCATCTTCCCCCAGGGCAGAGTGTGCTTGTCAGAGCAGAGGGTGTGGAATCACAGCCACAGGCCGCTTCTGCTCTGCCGTCCCTGCAGAGTGATCCCTGCACTGTGTTTCCGCCTCCTCACTGGCAACGTGGGGCCCATAAAACCAATGAGAACATGTGTGGAGCGTGTTTCAAATTGCCTGCCGCTTGTGCGCTGGCACTAAAGGACAGCTCTTATTCTTTTTAAGAGGCTTAACATGGTACAGCTGTTAAGATGGGGAGTTTTAGAAAGTCAGACGGACTGGCTTCACCTACTGGTTCGGCACCGCTTAGCTCCGAGACCATAACCATTGAGCATGTGCTCTACTCTGAAGTAGCCATGCCAGTACCTGCCTCATGGTGGGGATGGGGGTGTGGTACCAGGAGGATTGACAGATAACACACCTGGCCTGCCTCCTGCAGACCCTAGGCACTGGCACTCAGTATCTTCAGCCGTTCTGTTTTGGTTTTTAAGTGGTGTGGGATCCTGGAGAAGAGTGTTAGACTATGTGGGGTCTGTCTTAATGTTAGTTTCTGCTGCTTGTCAGTTGATTGCCATTTTGTCTTGAAGTGCTTCTTTGCTTAGAATGACAAGTGTACGGGCTGGGTGCAGTGGCTCATGCCTGTAATCCCAGCAATTTGGGAGGGTGAGGTGGGCGGATTGCCTGAGCTCAGGAGTTCGAAACCAGCCTGGCCAACATGGTGAAATCCCGTCTCTACTAAAAATACAAAAAAATTAGCTGAGTGTGGTGGCAGGTGCATGTAATTAGCTACTCAGGAGGCTGAGGCGCAAGCATTACTTGAACCCGGCAGGCGGAGGCTGCAGTGAGCCAAGATCCTGCCACTGTGCACTCCACACTCCAGCCTGGGTGACAGAGCTAGACTTTGTTTCCAAAAAAAAAAAAAAAAAAAAAGAGTAGGGACTAGAAGTAATTTCAAAAGCCTTTATTGGTTTATATATTAATATGACCCATGAAAGTAGTGTTACCTTATAAAACACTGATAAATATCTTATCCTTAGGGTCTTCCGATGGAGATGGGAGAATACTTTCTCTATTTCATGGACAAGAGGCAGCGACTGAGACAAGCTAATGGGCTGCTGGGGAGGAGGCTGGAGCCCAGGTCTTCAGCTCCTGATCAATGGTCGTTCTTCTGGATGATGTTGGGGTTTTGTTTTGTTTTGTTTTTGTTTGTTTTTAGATACAGGGTCACTGCAGCCTCAACCTTTTGGGCTCAGGTAGTCCTCCCACCTCAGCCTCCCAAGTAGCTGGGACCACGGGCATGTGCCACCATGCCTGGCTAATTTTTTGTGGAGACAGGGTTTCATCTTATTGCCCAGGCCGGTCTTGAATTCCTGGACTTAAGCAAGCGCCCTCCTCAGCCTCCTAAAGTGCTGGGATTACAGGCGTGAGCCACTGTGGCCGGCCAGTGTTTTTACTGTTTATGGAAAATATGCAACACAAGCAGGTTCGCTTCTTGAAGGTGAAAGTGGCCTGTGTGATGTTGACTTACATAGTGAGAACTAAACGATTCTAAGCAGCTTAGTTCTGAGAAAGCCACCCCTTGCTTCTGTCCAGGTCTTGCACCTTCCCGGCTGCTTCAGCCAGGATCTGTTCTGTTGAAAATGTTGTGGAGTTCAGCTGGGGTAGATAGTGGTGGCTGCTAGTTTGTTACAATTTGGTGCTCTAGTGAGTTGAGCTCTTGTGGGTATTGAACTGTTTTTGTATTTCAGTTCTCTATTTGTGCCTACATAAAAATTTTAAAAATCTAAATTTTCCATTTTTCATTGTAGTGTAGGAAGAATGATGATGGAGACACAGTTGTTGTGGTTGAGAAAGACCATTTCATGGAGGATTTCTTCCATCAGGTAAGAGCGTTTAATGAAACCCAATCATAGCCTGCCTACCTGCCCTCGCTCCCTCCCCCTCCCCCTTTCTCCTTCCCCCTCTCCTCCCTTCCTTTCCTTCCTTCCTCCCTCCCCTGTTTCTTTTTCTTTTTTTTTTTCTTTTTCTTGTTTTTGGAGACAGAGTCTCACTCTGTTGCCCAGGCTGGAGTGCAGTGACACAATCTCGGCTTACTGCAACCTCTGCCTCCCAGATTCAAGTGATTCTCTTGCCTTAGCCTCCCAAGTAGCTGGGACCACAGGTGCGTGCCACCACGCCCGGCTAATTCTTTTTTTTTTTTCATTTTTAGTAGAGATGGGGTTTCACTATGTTGCCTAGGCTGGTTTCAAACTCGTGAGCTCAGGCAATCCGCCTGCCTCGGCCTCCCAAAGTGCTGGGATTACCAGTGTGAGCCCCCGCGCATGGTGGCTTTCTTCTTTAAAGATGTATATCAATATGATTGTGCATTTTATAATATTTGAAATAATACTTCAGCCAATATTTTTAAAAGTTGTTTGAATTACATAAGTTCTCTGGAATTTTTAGTATGATCACAATGTTAATATGAGAAAAATGCGAATCATCGTTCTGGTGCAGTCCAGGAGGGGGTTGGGTGCGGATGGTGGAGCTGTGCACGCGGCCTCCGCGTGTGCTGGGGCCAGGCCTGCAGCGCCCTCTGCTGGTGGGTGCCCGCTTCTCCCACCCGGCGCTGGCTGCTGCAGGAGCGCCTCCTCCTTGCAGGCTGCCTTTGGGAGGTCCTGCGGCGCCCCTTAAGAGAGTTTTACAGAGGCCTCCCTGCAAGACCGGCAGTGTCTCAGAACGAGGACTCCTTGGTTCTTCAGGAAGTGGTGGTTCCGGCAGCAGAGGTGGCACCTGGCTGAGGCGCAGGGGTCAGGTGTGCGTGGCTCCCACCAGCACTGCCGCCCCTCCAGTGGTGGGAGCGAGTCCTGGGGGCAGGTGCATAGAGCAGAGGGCTCAGGGTCTGAAATCGGTGACTGATCAGCTGTATATGAGCTCAGGTAGAAGACTCAGAGGAAAGTCACTGGTGACCCAGTGGCTGATATTTTAAGACGTGGCAGCCTGCCAGTGCTGGGATCCTGTCTGAGGTGTGAGGCCTCCCCCTCCTGCTTATCTCCCCAGCACAGCTCTTGGGCTTAGGCCCTGCTGAAATTCTCAAACCTAAGAACTATCTGATCTAATGTTGCATAATTTCAAATTTTTGAAATTGAGTCACAGAACAAATACATTGACCTTGTAAAACGTGAAGGAACGAAAACACATGTCCAGTGGGTTTTTTAATGACGGAACCTTCGTTGCAGGACTCGCCTTGATTATTGCAGGACTCGCCTTGATTATGCTGAGTCTCATGGGATAGTTTCACTCGACAGCCTCAGTTGGCCTAGCAGTGCCTGGATTTGAACATTTTAAGAGGTTTATAAAAGTATATGGAAAGTTATTAGTTTTTCAGACTCAATCAGAATTTCTTGAATATCTCACATAAGCCTAGTCACTGGTTTTCTAGTATTTGTTAGTTGCTACTGTTATCTAAAGGAAAAAAACATGAGATTAAATTGTAAGCTACAAGGAAGTTCCTTTAAGGTATAAAGGAGTTAAGATGCTCGGATTTCCTGATTTCACTTCTTGGAAATGAGACTTTTAAAATTGTCTTTAGCCTTCCTGGCCCCTTTGTCAAATTGTTATTTTTCCGATTTTATTCCTTTTACTTGGTTGCTTAACTCCATGCAAGTTCTTTGTAAAAATGTATTTATTTTAAAGAATCTCCTGCCATTAAGTGTTGCATTTAATAGAAAAGTTACATAGTGCAGGCCGGGTGCAGTGGCTCATGCATGCCTGTAATCCCAGCACTTTGGGAGTCCGAGGCAGGTGGATCACCTTAGGTCAGGAGTTCCAGACCAGCCTGGTCAACATGGCAAAACCTGTCTCTACTAAAAATACAAAAATTAGCCAGGCATGATGGCGGTGCCTATAATCCCAGCTGCTTGGGAGGCTGTGGCGGGAGAATCACTGGAACCCGGGAGGCGGAGGTTGCAGTGAGCTGAGAACACACCACTGTACTCCAGCTTGGGTGACAGAGTGAGACTCTGTCTCAAAAAAAAAAAAAAGGAAAAAAAGAAGAAGAACAGAAAAGTTAAGTTGTGCAATTCACTGACTGCCATTAAGCTGTGGTCTTTGTCTGTCTGGTGCCAGTCTGTCTTTGCTGCTGGCGTCTCGGGACATGTGGGAAACAGGTTACTCGTGCGTTAGGAAGGCTTGCCCAGTGCTTGTCCTCCCTGGGTTCTAACTTAAGCTCAAGCTTTCATTTGTTAAATAGTCAATTTAGTTTGCACTTAATTTCTGTGAAATGACTTCCTAGACAAATACAGAAGCAAGTAATGTTTGTTAATATAAACTCATTCTGATCTTCAATATCACATAGAAGTTTACAAGAGAAATGGATTTCACACAGCGAGTGTTTGGTTAACACTAAAACAGTGCTCTGAAGGGTGGCCAGGGAGCCTTGTTTCTGCGAAGACAATTTATAACGGAGCCAAAGGCCCCCCGTGCTGTGTTATTCCCGGACATAAAATGCTAGCTGGCACCATTCTCTCTCGGTGCCTCTCTGGGTGCGCGTGTGTAGCCCTGCAGTTTCCTGTTCCTCTGGAGCCACACGGGGGCTTGGAGTTAGCAGCGGTATATATTGCAGAACTCTCCAAGAGTTAAAATAATGTTTTTTTTCTTTTACTTTCTAACATGTGTATTACTTTAGAAATGGTAATTTTGCTTTCTTTTCTTGAGACGGAGCCTCGCTCTGTCACCCAGGGTAGAGTGCAGTGGTGTGATCTCGGCTCACTGCAGCCTCTTCCTCCTGGGTTCAAGCAATTCTCTTGTCTCAGCCTCCTGAGTAGCTGGTACTACAGGCACGCCACCACGCCTGGCTAATTTTGTATTTTTAGTAGAGACGGCATTTTGCCATGCTGGCCAGGCTGGTCTTGAACTTTTGATCTCAAGTGATACGCCTACCTTGGCCTCCCACAATGCTGGGACTACAGGCGTGAGCCACTGCCCCTGGCCTGCGTGATTCTTTAATACTTAGACTTTTCAAATCTGGTCTGGGGCTTGGGCTAGGAGTCCTTGGGGTCCCTAAGATCCTTTCAAGAGGATTCTGTGGTCAAAGCTCTTTTCAAAGTAATACTAAGATGATCATTGCCATTTTTACTCTCTTATGACTGCACAGTGACGGAGTTTCTCAGAGCCAACACACCAAACCCAAGAGTATCTGTGATGATCAGGGTGCTTTCTATTAAGCTAGACATTAGATTTACAAAAAGTGCAAATCACTGCCCCTGTTTCCACTGATTTTTTGGAGATCTATTTTTTCACAGAAATGTGTTATTTATGTTGACATGTGTGTCAGTTTCCTGCTGCTGCTGTAACAAATCACTGTGGTTCAACAACACGTTTATCACCCCCTCCTAGTTCCAGGGCCTGGAGAAGCTCAGGTGCTGGCAGGGCAGAGCTGCGAGCCTCCTGGAGCTGCCTTCCTCTCTGGCTTCCGCAGGCGGCCTGTGTTCTTGGTTTTCCTCCACCTTCAAAGCCATCACTCCAGCCGCTGTTTTCATGATCAAGTGTCCCTTTTCCAACATTGGTCCTCTTGTCTTGTCTTGTAAGGACTCCTGTGGTTCCATTGGGCCCACCCAGATAATCCAGGGCAGTCTCAAGACTCAACTGGATCACATCTGCAAAGTTCCCTTTGCCGTGCAAGGCGACATATTCACAGACGCCGGGATTAGGACGTGGATTGTGCCACGACATGTAATGGTGTAATGGTTAATAATTCTTTCTTTTTTTTTTTTTTTTTACGAGCAAGATCTTGCTCTGTTGCCCAGGCTGGAGTGTAGTAGTATAATCACAGCTCACTACAGCCTCAACTTCCTGGGCCCAAGTGGTCTTCCTGCCTCAGCCTCCTGAGTGGCTGGGGCTGCAGGCATGCACTATTGTGCCCAGCTAATTTTCTTTTCTTTTAGTTTTTGTAGAGATGGGGTCTCTCTGTGTTGCCCAGGCTGGTCTTAAACTCTTGGCCACAAGTGATCCTTCTGCCTTGGCTCCCAAAGTGTTGGGATTACAGGCATGAGCCACTGTGCCTGGCCTATAATTACTATTTTAAAATGAGGAAGGAGGTAGGAGCTGGCAGCAGAGCATCTTGCTTCAGGGCTCACCTTGCTACTTCTGTAGCTGGATGTCCCTCTACTGCTGTCTTCTAAGAACACTTACGACTTTAACCCATTTATGCCTAGTGTTCCATTATTGGAAAGCTAAGCTTGTGCGAGTTACTTATATCCTAGTGCTCAGGGTCATCACCAAGGTCTGATTTTTCACACACACAAATTGTAGCCTCTAGCATAAATGGGTTAATGAGGACCGACCTGGAGAATTCAGGATAATTTCCCATCTCAAGATCCTTAGTTTAGTCACATCTGCAAAATATCTTTTGTCCTATAAGGTAACTCACAGGCCCAGGGATTAGGACCTGAACATCTTTAGGGTCATTTTTCAGCGTGACATAGAGGTTTTTGAAGATAATGTTATGACTCCATCTAGATAAATCTTGCTAATGATACATTACATTTTGAAACACATATTGAATTTAAACATTTAGAGGTCAAAGATAACAATTATGAAGGTTTGGCTGTGTGAGCTGTAGATACCTCCTCCCATAAGAGTATTATTATTATTATTTTCTTTTTTTTTTTTTTTAGACAGAGTTTTTCTCTGTTGCTCAGGCTGGAGTGCAGTGGTACGATCTCTGTTCACTGCAACCTCTGCCTCCTGATTCAAGCGATTTTTGAGCCTCAGCTTCCTGAGTAGCTGGGATCACAGGTGTGTGCCACCTCAGTCGGCTAATTGTTGTATTTTTAGTAGAGAAGAGGTTTCTCTATGTTGGCCAGGCTGGTCCCGAACTCCTGGCCTGAAGTGATCTGCCCACCTTGGCCTCCCACAGTGCGGGGATTACAGGTGTGAGCCACTGTGCCGCATGTTTTAATGGGTATTAGTAGTAGTACGCTTCTAATTGGCCCCGTCTGTGTCATGCTTGGGACTTGACTAGAAATTTTTACAGCCTGATAGGTTTTCCTGGTGAATGGTGATTGGTACTGCTTTAGGTATGAAGGCAGAAATATTCATAGGGTATATCTTTATTTTTTAAATTTAATGAGACTGCCGGGTGCGGTGGCTCACGTCTGTAATCCTAGCACTTTGGGAGGCCGAGGTGGGCAGATCACGAGGTCAGGAGATCGAGACCATCCTGGCTAACACGGTGAAACCCCGTCTCTACTAAAAATACAAAAAAAAATTACCCGGGCGTGGTGGTGGGCGCCTGTAGTCCCAGCTACTGGGGAGGCTGAGGCAGGAGAATGGCTTGAACCCGGGAGGCGGAGCTTGCAGTGAGCCGAGATCGCGCCACTGCACTCCAGCTTGGGCGACAGAGCGAGACTCTGTCTCAAAAAAAAAAATTATATCAGTGTGAGAATGGGAGAGGCTTTTTATTTCTTATGTGGTAATTATTTATTTCCCTCCTTTATTCTTCCCCTTTTAGGGCATGCAAGTGGTCACAGATTTGAGTTTGCCATGCTGTAATGACTCTCTCTCTCTCCTAGGTTGAGGAGATTAGAAACAGTATTGATAAAATAACTCAATATGTTGAAGAAGTAAAGAAAAACCACAGCATCATTCTTTCTGCACCAAACCCAGAAGGAAGTAAGTGGTTGGTTTTAACAACAAAAAGTTTGTCTGTCTGTGTGTCTCTCTTGCTGTCTGCGGCACAGGCCTCGACTCTGGCTTCACGTTAGATTCAGGGGCGTCTGTACGAAATGCTGATAAGCTAGAGAGTCTGAGGCGTTTGGCCTGGGGCGAGCCAGGGCGTCTGTATGGTTTGTTTTGAAGCTGCCCATGTGATTCTCATGGGCAGCCCGAGTGAGGACCACGGATGGATCAGATCCTAAAGAATACACGAAAGTGGCTTCGCAGAACTTAGGAGCCAAGATTAGACCACAGGTCAGCCAGACAGCACTTTATGTTCAGAGGGCAGTGAATCCGGGATTGATTTGGAAAACAGTACTTGTAAGAGCAGAGTGAAATAGGAAGACACACTGAGGTGACTCTGAAAGTCTTAAGGAGGAGCTTTTGTATGGACTGTGCTGCGTTCAGTGCCTGTGGAGGATGGCACAGAAGAAATGCTTTTTTTTTCTTTATCTGCTTCACATTTGCTTCCTTTTGAATCTGAGGCACACAGAAGAGTGAAAGGAGCTCAGTGGAAGCAGCTGGAGAACCTGGATTTTTGTCCCAATTTGCTTCCCCACGGTATTTGCATCTCCTCATTGGGAGAAAAGACATGATTTTATTTTATTTATTTATTCATTTATTTTTTGAGACGGAGTCTTGCTCTGTCGCCCAGGCTGGAGTGCAATGGTGCAATCTCGGCTCACTGCAACCTCTGCCTCCTGGGTTCACGTAATTCTCCTGCCTCAGCCTCCCGAGTAGCTGGGACTACAGGCGTCCACCACCATGCCCGGCTAATTTTTGTATTTTTAGTACAGACAGGATTTCATCATATTGGCTAAGCTGGTCTCGAACTCTTGACCTTGTGATCCACCCGCCTCGGCCTCCCAAAGTGCTGGGATTATAGGCATGAGCCACCGCGCCCAGCCATATCTACTTTAAATGTCATTTTCTCTGTTTGTTGTTGGCATATAGAAATACAATGATTTTTGCGTATTGGCCTCGTACCCCTTGCCTAATCAGTTATTAATTCTAATATCCTCTGTAGCTAATGTTGGATTGTCTTTGTACCCAATCATATCATTGTGAATAATAGTGACTGTTTTTTCCTTGCAGCTCTTATGCTTGTTAGTTTTAACTGACTTATTTAGCCGACCTCCAGTACAGTATTGAATGGAAGTGGTGATGGGGGCACACGTATTTTTGGTCTTGGAGGAAAGTTGCCAGCAAATACATTTTTTGTTGGACTATTACTTAGTGTAGCCGTACGTTGAAAAAATAAAGTAGTATTAAATTGAAAAAGAACGCATTTTAAAATTGTGTGTGTCTTGTAAAATAAGGTTCTGAGCCTCTGTTTGTGCCTTCTCAGTGGCTCAGAAGCGTGTTTCCCAACATGTTTCTGGAGCCGCCCTCTCATGAGCTAGTCCGTGCAGCCAGGGTGCTGCGGCCAGATCCTTCCTGGGACCTCTTGGTGCCGTCGCCCAGCCCCTCTTGGGAAGTTGCAGTAACCTTAGAATAATCAAGGCTCTGAGAAGTCTTCCTAGAAGGAAGCCTGTTTAGCTTTGTTTAGTGTTTCACACATTTATTTGCCCGTAGGACCTTTTATGTCCCATCTGTTAACATCATGCTTAATGCTTAGGGAAATTCTATTTGAATAAGTATCAGCATTTTTTTTGGAATAATTTACCTCCAAAACATTTTTGCTGCCAAGTCATAGCAGATAGAATATTTTTTGAGTAAATTTAGAACTGTCACTGTTTGATGATAGTCCCTTTCGGGCTCTAAAGAAAACCGTTGCTTTTTTGTCTTTTGTTTTGTGACAGAGTGTGAACCAAAATGTGGGCAGCAGCCTCCAGCCGCTTCCTTGGTTGGTCTTTAAAAAGCAAAATGCAGTGATTCCCCTCTCCCAATGACGGGCCTGGGATAATGCAGAGAGGGACAGGCTCTTGGCCTTCCCGCCCTGTTCCTAAAGAAAGAGGGAAGGGTGGGAGGGAGGAATGGGGACTACAGTGCTCCGCCTCCCCCGTGTCTCCCCATCCTCGGGCAGGCGCCCTGCTTAGGTCCTGGTGAGCAGGCGATTCCCAGGCTGCTGCCCTCCCGTCAACCTCAGGACCTGGGGCAGGGCTGGGCACGGCGGCCGCCAGGTGGCGCCAGAGGCAGCCGGTCCCGGGCGGGTCCCCGGTCCTAGCACCGCGCGCGTCGCGCCACCTGCAGCCGTGGATCCCAGGGCAGAGAGGTGGGCGAAGGACCTTTTACCTGCATTTTTCTTTTTTCACTTTCTACTTTTGTATTATTTCTTTTTTCTTTTGTATTAAAAGAGCGTCTTTGCAAAACGTAGATATTTCAGGCCCTCCAAGACACGGATCCAGCCCTGCAGGAGCATGAAGTGTGTGTGGTTCTGGTTTGGGTTTTAGTGACGGCGAGGCTGGGATTCTCCTGCAGGACGGCGGGGTTTGATTCGCTCCTGCAGTCAGCCGTCAGCCTGGCTGGCGCCCTGTGTTCGGGGGCCGTCGTCCTGCGGCTGCGCGCGCTCCCGTTTTCTCCGCTTCCTGTTCCCTCAGCAGTTCCCTGGGGCTCCCCTCGGACTGCGCTGGGACCGCTTCTGCGCCGTCTCCGTCTCCAGCGCCGCCTGCTCCGGTGCGTTCTGTGCTTTTCTGCGGGAAATCAGACTCACGGAGACCCGGGTCCTTGTGCGGAAGCCCCTGAGGGCCCTGGAGGAAGCCGCACCTCTGTGGCTTTGGCTTCAGATCCTGTGCCACCGGTTATCCCTGTGTGGCCTTGGACGCATCACTTAACATCTCCGGGGCTGTTCCCACACGTGTGAAATGGGCTAGTGGTGGCATCTGCCTTTCAGTGCTGTTGTGATTCTTCCCCCCGCCGCCCCAGCGGAGTCTCCCTCTGTCGACCAGGCGGGAGTGCAGCTGCGTGATCTCAGCCCACTGTGGGCTCAGCCTCCTGGGCTCAGACAGTCCTCCCACTTCAGCCTCCTGAGTAGCTGGGATTACAGGTTTATATATATCATATATGTATAACATATATACACACACACATATAAATAATATGTACACACACACACACACACACACCCCTTTTTTTTTTTTTTTTTTGGTAGAAACAACATCTCACTATGTTGCCTCTCTCCTGTCTCCTCCCCTGCAGGGCATGGGGGCCACTCATGGGCTTTCTGCCTTCAGAAACAAAGCCCTGAACCCCCGTAAGGAGCTGCGTGGCCAGGCTCCGGCAACCCCCTCCCACTGCAGGGCCTTACTAGGGAGCCTTGGCTCCAGGACCCCTGCTCTGCTTCAGCCCAGCTGCCCCCACCGCAGGCTGGGACCACCCCACCCGAGGCCTTCCTGCCCTTGCGGTTCCTCTCTGCTTCCTTCTTACCTCCTTCAGTGAAGATTCGCTGTGATCTGAAGTTATCCTCAGTTTAGTAGTATTCTCGAAGGATATTTTCACTGAGTAGAAGGTTCTAGTTTAGAAGTTACTTTCTTTCACCACTCTGAAGATTTAAAACATATTTTTCCAGTGTCTTTGGCTTTACTTTTTTTTTTTCCAGCTACTTAGAGCTTTTAAGGTATTTGGTTTTTGGTCTTTGGTTTTAGCAGTTTTACTTTGATGTTTTGAAATGTGGTTTTCGTTTTCTTTTTGCCTCTTATAAGGCTTCTTGAATCTTTGGATTGACATTTTCTGGCTGTGTTTTGAAAAACTTTGGCCATTACTTCTTCAAACTTTGGCCATTACTTCTTGCTCCTTTTTCTGTCATCTCTCTTTGCGACTGGAATTGTCTTTTAGAGCTTTTCACTATATCCTTTCTGTCTGTCCTCTTTTGTTCTCTATTGTTCATCATTTTCTCTATATATTTCATTTTGAAAATGTTTTCCCGACTTATCTTTTAATTTCTCTTCAGCGATTGTCTTGCAGGTCAGGGAATCTTTCTTCATCTATGGAATTATTTTTGGATTGGTTTTAACTCCTATAATTCCATTTGGTTCCTTTTAATACTGTCCTATTCTCTGAGAAAATTTATGATATTACGTTTTATCTCTTTGAATGTAATTGTTTTAACGTCTGTGTCTTGTAACTTCATTAACTGGTGCCTATGTGGATGGGTTAATGTTGTCCGTTTTTGTTGGTTTTTTTGGTGTGTGTTTTTTTGGTTATTTTTGATTTGAGTTTTGAGCTTGGTATTGGAATGATGTGTAGTAATAATTCGAGTCCTGAATGATATTTTCTTTATAAAGAGGTGATGTATTTTTATTTCTGGCAGATGGTTAGAAGCGCCAGCAGTTCTGGACCTGATTTTAGGGACTGAGATGATTTAGACTGAGGCTTCGGCCCCTGCGAGGGCCAGCTTCCCACCTGACTGTCCTCCGAGGGCATCGCCTCTCCGAGTCAGCACTTTTCTCCGCTTCTCTGCAGCCCAATTGCCTTTTATGGAGTTGGCACCTGCCCCCGGTAAAAGTGGCTGCAAAAGTGGGACCCACCTCCTTGGGTTTTCTCGTCTGAGTCTGCTTTCCTGCCTTGTTAGGTTTCTTTCTTTTTTTATTGTTTTGTTTTGTTTATTTTTGCACCTTGTTAGGTTTCTAATGGCTTTCCACAGATTTGAAAAGAGTAGTGTCTACCCTTTCTAATTGTTCTCAGCAGGAGGATTGAGCTGAATCACCTAGGCCGCTGGAAGAGGAGGTGCCCGATATCAGTGGTTGGAAATGCCATGTTTGTCACATGTGACCTTATGGCCGGTGTCTCGCAGGATGAGACAGGCAGTGCCTCTTTCATTTTGCTGATGAGCTGCCTAAGCCCCTGTGTGCCTGTGGTGGCAGCAAGGTCACACTTTCCTTCCTGAGTGCCTCCCACGCCTGCTGTGTAAGAGCTCAGGGCTTTCTTTCCCAGGGAAGTGAGTCCTGCTGTGGCCCACCAGCTCAAGAAGGAGACTCTCATCCACCGGCAGGCCCGGCGCTCAGATCTCGTGGTTTCTGTGGCCGCGCAGTGGCTCACGACTGTCTCCCGAGTCTGATTGTCCTCAGCTGTGCTCAGGCGCTGGCTGGGCCGGACCGCTGCACAAATACCCTTGCTGTGTGTACATTTTAACTTCGACGCCTACACTCAGCCCTCATTCCCCAGGCACAGTGGCCAGGCGTTGGGGGTGTTTGCATCAGCCTTATGAACCACGGGAGCCAGCACTCCCGCCACAAACTGTGGACCTGCTCCCCTCTTTATTCATAGCAAGTCTCTGTAATTGCCGTTAAATGCCCCATTTTATAAGGCATTTTGTGTTCCCTTTACTGTCCTAAAATGAAGTTCATAGATGAGATAACCTACCTACTTCCATAGTTTTTTAAAAACATGTAATATCCAAACTAATATGAAGAAGACATAAAATGGAAGTAACTTACATACTGAAGTACAAATTGTATTGTGCAGGCTCAGGCACAACACCAGAAAACGAAATTCAGGCACTTGCCCCCTACAAACAAGTCCTGTGACAGACAGCCAAGACTGCAAGCTGATGAGGCGTTGTGATTCAGATGCTGTCAGCAGGCTTCCCTGTGCTTTTCCTAAGGCAGTTGCGTCGCTGAAATAGAATGAAGTACAGCTTTCTCGCCATGCAGAGCGGTGTCACGGCAGTTGCATTCCTGAAAATCCACTGGATATTGAAACGATGCAGATGAAAATAGGACTTATTTGTAAGCTGGAGTTAGGTTCTGGGCTCAGGAAAACAGGTCTTTTCTCCTGCCCGAGTGAGCAGTGTCCATTTGGAAGTTATGCAGGTCAGCGGGTGATGTGCTGACATAACGAGGTTCGAGGGTGGTGCATCTCACACGCGCGTGGACACCCCGTCGTCACGCTCAGGAACGCTGTGTGGCGCCGGCTGGTGCCGTCGTCACGCTCAGGAGCGCTGTGTGGCGCCGGCCGGTGCCGTCGTCACGCTCAGGAACGTTGTGTGGCGCCGGCCGGTGCCGTCGTCACGCTCTGGAGCGCTGTGTGGCCCTGGCTGGTGCCGTCATCACGCTCAGGAGCGCTGTGTGGCGCTGGCTGGTGCCATTCCTGGCTCCTGTCGTCTGGCTGCCAGTGGCTCTGCCTTTTTTATGGTGACTGGAAATACCCCACAGATTTCAGAATACCTCTTGGGGTGGTAGAAAGATTCCCCTGAGAATCTCCCTTTAGAAACATGTTCACAGAGGAGAACCACGAAATGGCCCCTTTGTGTCTAGTTTCTCTTTTTTTCTAGTTTCATCCATTATCAGAATAATTTTTCTCCGTTTTTTTCTTTTTTCTTTCCTTTTTTAAATAGAGATGGCATCTTGCTAGTTGCCCAGGTTGGCCTTAAACTCCTAGGCTTAAGTGATCCTCCCGCTTCAGCCTCTGAAGTAGCTGGGACTACAGGTGCACACCATTGTGCCCTGCTTAAAAATGATCTTTCTAGGCTGGATGCAGTGGCTCACGCCTGTAATCCCAGCACTTTGGGAGGCCGAGGCGGGTGGATCACGAAGTCAGGAGTTTGAGACCAGCCTGGTCCATATGGTGAAACCCCAACTCTACTAAAAATACAAAAATTAGCCGGGTGTGGTGGTGGGGGCCTGTAATCCCAGCTACTTGGGAGGCTGAGGCAAGAGAATTGCTTGAACCCAGGAGGCAGAAGTTGCAATGAGCCGAGATTGTGCCACTGCACTCCAGCCTGGGTGACAAGAGCAAGACTCCGTCTCAAAAAAAAAAAAAAAAAAACCTCTAATGCATCTTTGCTGATGTCTTTTTTTGCTCAGAAACCTTCAGTGCTGACTGGTGCCCTCAGTAAAAGCCCCAAAGTCAGGCGGGCCTGCACACTCCTGCCCGGGCAGCCTACAGTCGGCCTCCTCCCACGCCAGTCACTTCAGCCCACTGTCCTCCTGCTCTGTGCTGCAGACCCTTCTCCTGCCTGGGGTAGAAGCCGCCAGTCTCTCCACTCCCAGGTCAGATGTCCCCTCCTGCGGGACAGCTGCAGTAGACGCCTCTTCTCCTGGCTGCCCATGGCGTTTTGTGAAACCTGTCTCGTCCGTTGTTAGTTTCTGCCTGGCATTGGCGCTTCCTGGGTTTGTCTTATCTTTTTTTTTTTTTTTTTTTTTACCAAGTTATTAGATCCCTGGTGATCTTCTTAGCCTCCTCGCATGACATGAGCCTTCACACACGTAGGGCACTCGGTAGGTATTACTGGTGCGTGACCTCTCACCTCTGGACGTCACTCAGTCTCTGATCTGGTTCTGAAACCCTGGAGGATCCAGGCTGCATCTGATGACCACAGCTGAGCGTGGAAAGAAGACTTAGCACGCGCTGGTGTGCAGTGGGTACTCAGGGCACCCTGCGTGTGCTCAACTGAGGGGGTGCCAGGAGGAGAATGGGCATCTCTGAAAGCTTTCATTTTTGGCCAAGTTGTCTATGGTGGAAACGTTTGCCATTTCCCCGGCTGACGCGTGTGAGATTGAGTGAGAGAGGCAAGTGCAGGACTCTGTGAAACGACAGCAGGGCTCCAGAGACAGGGTAGGGGCCTTCCTGTCTCAGCAACTTCTGGCCAGAGGAGAGGGAAACCCCCTTCAGGTCACTTCAGCCACCGGACTGGCAGACGTGAGTGTGTGGCATGGAGCAGACATCCTGCCACCCTCCTGGGCTCTGGGGCAGCCAGGTGTGAAAGCAGAGGCTGCCGTGACGCCCTGGGGTGGCCTTAGGTCTCAGCACCGCCCTGGAGTGTTGGCCCCTGCTCTGCCAGCCTCCCTCCATGTCAGGAGGCCGGCCCCTGCCTCCGTCGCCCTCTGCTTGCAGCCCTGAGTGTCTGAGAAGCCAGCCCAGGGCAGCCGGCCCAGCAGCACTGAAGTGGTGGCTGTGATTCTTCGGGCGTCTTGGGGAGACAGCTGATAGCACCAGAGAAGAGCACACACACAGGAGACTTTGTTGAGATCATTGTTATGTCTCCGTTTTCCTTTCCCAGGTCTAGGTGTTAGCAGTGGATTTAGGCAGCCGTTTCATTCATTGGTGTAGACCAGCAAGTCTCAAACTTGTGTCACCTGGAGGGTTTGCTAACTCAGCTTGCTGGGCCACTGCCGCCACCTCAATTTCTGAATAGGTCCAGGGTGGGGCCCGGGGATTTGTGTTTCTACTAAGGTCCTACCTGATACATATGAAAGCTGCTGTCTAGGAACCCATCTTGAGAACCACTGGTATAAGTGGTAGTTTTTCTTACAGAAAAAAAGTGAATATTTACTAAGGATACTGTTTCACTTAAATTCATTGGATATCATTTATGTTGGATGTTATAGCTCAGATGCTGTATTTTATTTTTTTATTTTAAATTTTTATAGAAATAAAAGAAGAGCTTGAAGATCTGAACAAAGAAATCAAGAAAACTGCAAATAAAATTCGAGCCAAGTTAAAGGGTAAGTTTGAAGTTTTATGTTTAATTGGGAGTGTGGGTTTTTGTTATTTTATTCTTTATTGGTTTTTGTTATTTTACATTTTTAAAAATTAAAATTGTGACTGCTTTAAAATAAATTATTTGTATGTAATTCAGAGTACTAATTCATGTTGAAAAAGGTTGTGTGTTTGCTTATAAACTGTTACTGTTACATTTTTTATGACATTTCAGGCTAAGTTGCAGATGTTTGGGAGGGTGAATGGCCAAGCTCTTCTTGAATGGACCCTTTAATTGCTCATTTCTTTCAAACTCAGTGGAATTTATTTGATGATGTTTGGCATTCCGCTTTAGCAGCAGTAGTTTTTTGGAAGGCTTATAGCTTTTACCTGGGACTTAAACAGAGGTTGCTTTTTCTTGATTTGGTAGAAGAACACATTGTATTTGATTTTTGCAGAATGGCATCAAGATCAAAAACAATCTCTGTGCAGATGATAAAATACTTTTATTACGGCAGGTTTCAGATGTGTGCAGAAGCAGAGGAGGCGACCACAAGCCAACGCCCCCAGCTCCACACTTCTCCATGAGCTCCCACCCCAACCCGCTCCCAGAGTATTCTGAAGCCCACCCCAGGCATCTGAGATTTCATCAGTGTGTATTTCAAAAACCGAAGCTTCCCCCAGAGCACAACCACCATCATATCTAAACCCAAATTCATTATAATTACTTGATAGTACAAAATATCCAGGCAGAGATTCTGCTTCCCCAGTGGTCTTATGATTTTTTTTTTTTTAAAAACAGTTCGCTTGAATTGAGTCCCAAGTAAGGACCAAACTCTGGCTTTTAAAAATGAGAGTCTCTCTTCATCATTTTTCTCTCTGGCACTTTTTCCTTTGGTTGGTGAAACCAGGTCATTTGTCCTACAGAATCTGCCACGCTGCAGATTTTGCTGATTTTCCCCCTGCAGCGTGTTTAATAGGCTCTGCCGTCCTCTGACTTTGCTGGAGGTTGGTAGTTAAATTCTCTAAGCTTTATCTGATTCAGGTGTTTTTTGTGGGTTTTTAAAATGTAAAGATGCAGCATCTGATTACAGATTTTATGTCCTCATGGTTATGTTAAGACGTTAGTGGTGATATTAACATTTTTTCTTGGCTCTAAGTAAGTTCAGTAACATTTTAAATAAGATATAACTTTCTTTTCTATTCTGTGATATTGTCAAAAATGGATGATTGTTTCCAAGATCCATAATTCATTAGCAGTTACAAGCAGTAATATCTTGATTTTTTTTTTTTTTGAGATGGAGTCTCTGTCACCCAGGTTGGAGTGCAATGGCATGATCTTGGCTCACTGCAACCTCCACCTCCTGGGCTCAAGTGACTCTTCTGCTTCAACCTCCTGAGTAGCTGGGACTACAGGTGCCCTCCACCACACCTGGCTAATTTTTGTATTTTTAGTAGAGACAGGGTTTCGCCATGCTGGCCAGGCTGGTCTCAAACTCCTGACCTCAAATGATCCGCCCGTCTCAGCCTCCCAAAGTGCTGGGATTACAAGCATGAATATCCTGATTTTATTATTCCTTCTTTGTTTAGTTGCTGGAATAGTTATTTAAAAAGAAACCTTTCTCCTTCAACTCCTGAATTGGATAAAGTTTGGAGAATCTATCAGCCCACAGTAAATACAGAGGACAGCAGAGCCTGTTGAACGTGTTGCCCTGCAACAGCAGGGTGAAATCAGCAAAGTGTGCAGCGGGGCAGGTTCTGTGGGACAAGTGACCTGGCTTCTCCAACCAAGGGAGCCAAAGCGCATTCTGGGTCACAGATCATGGAGGACAGAGAGGATCAGCGTTGGACTCTCTCTCTCTCTGGTGTAATTTTCATAGGTCAGTTCCCTGGAGTCCTCCAGAGATGACCAGGGAGAGTCTCTGTTGCTGCTTCTCGTCCATCATTGTGAACAATGGATTTAAACACATCTGATGTTTTCATTGTTGCGTTCTCCTCAATGCTCAGATGGTCCCTTTGGCTAGTAAGGTGGACTCTTGAGTCCTTTTGGTAGGCCCCTCATTGTCTGTGACAGGCTTTCCACTTTTTGCTGTGACAAAAGGACCCATGCTCATTTCACCCCTTTCCTTTCCTGGGCCTGGGATCAGCCATTTCCCCAGGGAGCCCCGCTGCTGTGTCTGAAGAATGTTATCTAGACACCGAGGTCGGCATACTGGGGAATGTATTGCCATACATGACGATGACCTGACCATTGTTTCCTGGGCTTTTGCAGTGGATTGGACTAAGATTTTTTAAAAAGATAAAATGAATCATGATTTGTTACTGAGACTCCAGATTAAGAATAAAGGAAGGACTAAAAAAATTTTTTTGAAATCATTTTTACTTAATACAGGCGATATTACATCTTTATCTCCTTTCAACTATGCCCCAAATTCTGGTTCTCACTGACACTTACATAATTATTCACTTGCTATTCATAGTACACACAACAACAGACCCAAAATAATTATGCCAGCATCTACTGTCAAGAGTATGATTACTTAAAAGTTTATTTATTTATTTTTTTTTTCATTCTTTTTGTCTATAGGTGTATCCCACTGGGCGATATAATCAGATTACTTTTTGTTGTTGTTGTTATTGTTTGACCTGAGGTCTTGCTGTGCTGGCCAGGCTGTAGTGCAGTGACTGTTCACCCGTGTGATCATGGTGCACTACAGCCTCAAACTCCTAGGCTCAAGTGATCCCCCCAGCAGTTGTGACTACAGGCACACGCCACTGTGTCCAGCTACAAATTACTGGATTTTAAAGTTACTTTGAATGGTTTTTCCTCTGTGTGTTTATTTATTTTTTTGAGATGGAGATTCGCTCTTGTCCCCTAGGCTGGAGTGCAATGGCGCGATCTCGGCTCACTGCAACCTCCGCCTCCTGAGTTCAAGCAATTCTCCTGCCTCAGCCTCCCTAGTAGCTCTGATTACAGGCACCTGCCACCGTGCCTGGCTAATTTTTGTATTTGTAGTGCAGACAGGGTTTCACCATGTTGGCCATGCTGGTCTCAAACTCTTGACCTGAAGTGATCTGCCTGCCTTAGCCTCCCAAAGTGCTAGGATTACAGGTGTGAGCCACCGCACCCGGCTCCTCTGTGTGTTTATATCATTAACTTGACTTACTGTTAGTTTTGTTTTATTTTTTCCTTTGAAGTTTAGGGATTAATGCTTTTAAAATTTAATTTTGCATTATAGTTTTGTGAAGTATTTATATTATTCTGAAGTCAAATTTATAAAACATATTCAGAGTCTAACTTCTTTCTTTGTGCCCCCTTGTTTCTCCTTTCCCTTTAGCAGTGCCCAGTTTTAAAATTTGTTGATTATGTTTCCATTTTTTTGGATGAGTAAATATGTATTTGTATATATGTGTGTATATATATATCTGTGTGTATCTGGGTATATATATGTGCATATATGTGTATATATGTGTATCTGTGTATATATGTGTGCATATATGTATATATACATCTGTGTGTATCTGTGTATATGTGTGCATATATGTGTATATATCTGTGCATATATGTGTGCATATATGTATATATTTCTGTATGTGTATATATGTGTGCATACATGTGTATATCTGTGTGTATCTGTATATATGTGTGCATATATATATCTGTGTGTATCTGTATATACATGTGCATATATGTATATATCTGTATCTGTGTATTGCATACATGTGTATATATATCTGTGTGTATCTGTATATATGTGTGCATATATATCTGTGTGTATCTGTATATATGTGTGCATATATATATCTGTGTGTATCTGTATATACATGTGCATATATGTATATATCTGTATCTGTGTATATATGTGTGCATACATGTGTATATATATCTGTGTGTATCTGTATATATGTGTGCATATATATCTGTGTGTATCTGTGTATATATGTGTGCATATATGTGTATCTGTGTGTATTGTGCATATATGTATATATCTGTATCTGTGTATATATGTGTGCATACATGTGTATATATATCTGTGTGTATCTGTATATATGTGTGCATATATATCTGTGTGTATCTGTGTATATATGTGTGCATATATGTGTATCTGTGTGTATCTGTGCATATATGGGTATATATATCTGTGTATATATGTGTATATATGTGTGCATATATGTGTATATATACCTGTGTGTATCTGTATATATGTGTGCATATATGTGTATATATATCTGTGTGTATCTGTGTATATATGTGTGCATATATGTGTATATGTCTCTCTGTGTATCTGTGTCTATATGTGTGCATATATGTATATATATATTTGTGTATCTGTGTATATATGTGTGCATATATGTATATATATATATCTGTGTATATATGTGTGCATATATGTATATATATATCTGTGTATATATGTGTGCATATATGTATATATGTATCTGTGTGTATCTGTGTATATATGTGTGCATATATGTGTATATATATCTGTGTGTATCTACATATACATGCTTCTCAAGAGCAGTAATAATTTCCTCTTGATGGGGTTGGGCGCAGTAGCTCACACCTGTAATGCCAGCACTTTGGGATGCTAAGGCAGGTGGATCACTTGAGCTCATGAGTTCGAGACCAGCCTGGGCAACATGGCAAAATCCTGTCTGTACAAAAAATACAAAAATTAGCTTGATGTGGTGGCACACGCCTGTAATCCTAGCTACTCAGGAGGCTGAGGTTGCAGTGAGCCGAGATTGTGCCCCTGCACTGCAGCCCGGGTGATAGAGCCAGACCTTGTCTCAAAAAACAATTTCCTATTGAGGGATTGTCTCTTTAGTAGATTTGCTTTAAAAGGTCGCTTGTTCATTAGCTTCAGTTTTATAAAGGTACTTGAAAGATAAGAAATAAAAGGAATTTGAAGTTAGACTTGAAACATTGTCATTTTTAAATTTGGAAAGTAATTATTTCCTATTTGTTCCTAGCTATTGAACAAAGTTTTGATCAGGATGAGAGTGGGAGCCGGACTTCAGTGGATCTTCGGATACGAAGAACCCAGGTTTGGTATCAGCCTCATTTAGATTGAAGTAATGCCGCAGAATAAGTGTTTTTACTTTCTTCTTGCAGACTCTGAATAATTTCATCTTTACTGTCATGCTTATCCTCACAGTATTTCTGCACAAAAATAATACAGTATTATAAAACAGAAGTATCTGAGACAGAGGTTTATTTTGCCAAAGCTGAGGACACACTTGGAAAAAAGAAATACAAATTAGGGTAGGATCTGTGGTTTGTGCCTTTCCCGAAGAGGGTTTTGAGGACTTTGATATTTAAAGGGGAAAGAGCAGGCAGGAGAGGAAGGAGGAAAGGGGGAAAAAAAAGAGGAAAAGCGGGGGTAGGCAGCGAGGTGGCCACGCTGTTGTGAGGCTTTGGTCAGTGCTCACTGCGTTCACATTTCACATGTGGGAAGAGAGGAGTGGGGGTTGATTCTGCACTCCTCCCATGCCTCCTACCTGGGCCAGTGTGAGCCTGAGTTGAGGGAGGAGCTATCCATGCATTTCTCAGGGTGGGCCGAGGGTGACTTGTAGTCTTGTCTTTGTCCTGTACCAGTGAAGATAAGCGGCTGACGGACATTGTCAGGGTGAGATTCAGCAGAACTCTGTTTTAGAGTTAGTTTTTGGGGGGATATGGATTCTGAAAGAGTCTGGGACCCACGAGGAATTTCCTTGTGAACACTTTGTGCGGGAGGCCGCTGGGGAGGTGTGCGGCCTTCTGTCCCTGCAGCCATCTGTTTGGGAAGAGGAGGGAGGGCAGTGTTTTGTATGACTTAGTTCCCAAGCTTAACTGTCCCTTTGGGGTAGTGAGTGTGAGGTCCTGCGATTTTATTTTCCTTTCACAGTATTTGTAGAACATCTCTTTATTGTGAAGAAAAATCTATTCAATCTATCAACAGAGTTCTATTCCGAAGAGCAGGGATTATCCCAATGATTTGAGTGTTTGTGGTCAGGCCGCCACGTTTCAGTGGTTTGTGGTGCAGCCCAGAGGAAGACAGAGCCCTGAGGCCTCGTGGGCACGAGGCGATGAAGCACGTGGACTCTGGGGTCCGCCTGCCTGGATCCCAGCGGTGATCCATGTTTATCAGAAAAGCCTGTGACCTTGGGCTAATGACCTCAAAGTCATGGTTTTCTTTAAGAGGGATGTGACTGGCATAATAGGGCTCTTGTGAAAATTAGGTAAGATGATGATGCAAAGTTCTTAGCACAGACGCTATCATGGGGACTTTGCCGCTGTCATTTTCCATTTGCAGGAACAGAAGAACATGTAGTTTGAGTTTCCAAAATGCATGTCTTGCATGTCACTTTCAGTGGAAGGCATGGCCCTCAGATACGAATGTAGTTTTCCTGTGTTGTTAGCATTCGGTGCTGTCTCGGAAGTTTGTGGAAGCCATGGCGGAGTACAATGAGGCACAGACTCTGTTTCGGGAGCGGAGCAAGGGCCGCATCCAGCGCCAGCTGGAGATAAGTGAGTAATGGAGACTCCGTCTTTGTTAAAATCATGTTTTTCTCCCTTAGGGTCTCACTTCAAATGACTTTAACTTCAGAAAAGGAACTCCATGTCTATTTTCACCAATACTGTAAAACCCAAAGACCACTTGTAGCTTCCTGTGCTGTGAGCTGGGCAAACCTGTTCTTCAGGAAGTCCTAAGCGGTGGGGTTTACCTTGCTCGTTGCCATTCCTTTTAGAGTTTCAGGGAGATTGGGAGAGTGTTCAATCATTTCCTCTTGGAGTGTTTCTGTGTCCTCAGTCCCATCCTGCCCTGGTTCGGGGGCATCTTCGTGGCTCCCCACAGCTCTCCTTGTCCGTGAGCAGAGGCGGCAGCCCTACTGCCCCAGACTCTTTTCAAGGGTGTCTGTGGGGACCATCGGCCATGGCAGTGGACATGGCGCCTTCTTCGGGGACAGACGGGTCTGTTTCGGGGATAAAGGTTGGTCAGGTTTGCAGACTCCCCATTGTGAAAGATTGGGGTTCCCAAGCTCAGGTCCTTCAGACACACAGACCCACTGTGAGGATGTCCCACTGTGGCTGCTCTCCCTCTCCCCATGAGACTGGGGGCTGTGGACAGCTGCTCATGAGCCTCAGGTTGCCTGCTGTGCTGTGAATAGGAAAGCCCTTTGTCCGTGACCTGGGGCCTTGGACCTTCTGCCGGCCTCCACGGAGTCCTGGCAGGCCAGCCTGTCAGCTCGCAGGTCAGATGAAGCCTCAGGCCCATCCCGGCTCCCAATGCTGCACGTCCCCCTCGGAGAATGTTGTCATACACCCGCCAGGCTGCGGGCTGCTTGACCTTGTCCCCAGCTCAGGGAGGCTCCTCATGTTTTAGATGCTCTTTTCCAGTGTGTTTGGTTTTGGTCAGTTTCTCTTCCTTGTGTGATGTGCCTTTAACCTCCTCCAGTGTATGTTTCATCTGAGACGCCGTGGTTTCTGCTGCTAGTTCTGCTGGGTGTTTTCCGTGGCTCCTGTGTTGCTCCCCACTGTACACCTGGGACGCACTTGCAGTAACTTGTCACCTCTTTGTCTGCCAACTCCAGTGTCCTGTCTGCTCTGGTTAGTTGATTTCCTTCCTTTCTGTGGCTTGTGTTTTCCTGCTTCTTTGCAAGCCTGGTAAATTTCGAGTGTGTGCCAGACATTGTGAATGTTACTTTGTTGGGTGGTGGGTATTTCTGTATTTTGAGTGTTTTTGTAAATCTCCTTGGCCTTTGTTTTAGAATGTAGTTAAATCACATGAGCATGGTTTATCCTTTGGGATCTTGTGTTTAAAGGAAGCAGAGCAGCTTTATTTGCAGGCCTGTCATTCGTTACTCCTGACGCAAGACCCTTCTGAGTACCTGCTCTGATGGCTGTGAACCTCATGGCACCCTCATCTGCCTGGCAGCGTGTTCCCTCTGGCATGCCAGTCAGCCCTCCAGTGAGCATGCGGGGTCTGTGCAGCTCGCTGTCTGCATCTCTCTCATCTCTCGTACTCCATCTTGCAAATCCGGTTGCCTTGGTCTCCCCTGAGCTCTGTGCCTTTGCCTGAGGACCTCCCCTGGGCTCCCCTGGGCCCTGTCTGCTCTGTGGCCTACACGAGAATTCCACCTGGGGGCAGCGGCAGGCTCGCCTGGCTTGTTTCCATCTGTGGGGAATCTGTGTGTGGCCTGACGCTCAGGGTCTTGAAATCATTGTTTTGTAGATTTTGGTGGGTTTGTTGTTGTTATTTCAAGTGGCAGGGAAAAGACGGTCCCTGTTGCTCCATCCTGGCAGAAATGCTCCATCATGATGTCGACTGGACTGCTTTTCCGTGAAAAGTTTTTACAAACCGCTTTGACTTCAGGGATCTGTTAGTCCTTTTTAAAGTGAAAGTCATCATTACAGGCAGCTGGTCGCACTGTGAGGATTTGCGCTCTGGGACTCTGTGGTGAGCACTTCCTAGCACAGTGTCCCCCAGCCTGGGGTTGAAGGCCCCGCGCCGTCTCTCCTGCAGGTCCATCCTGTCTTCACTCCCCGTGAATCCCGTAGCGTGATCAGATCACCTGTCTCTTCTCTCTTTCCCACATTATTCTATCTTAGCCCACAGAATTTCATTTTGAGTTTCTTCTCTTGCAATCGTGCTCTGTCGAATGCAGTACTGTTTGTGAACGTGTCTTATAAGCAATGAAGTATCATATACATGGTGGGAGTTTTTTTTAGTAATTCTTTTAAGTCTGTTAAATTCTAAACCCTCCATGTGGCTATTCCGAAGTGAGCAGATCTGTGCAAACTCACCCCCAAAGGCTGAGCGAGCAGAGAGGCCAAAGAAAGAGGCTAACAAATCCGGTTTCTCGGAAGGAAACACTGAATAGGGACGTAGGAACACAAACCCCCAAGAGACAGAGACGGTGGATCCCCACAGCCGCCTGCCCTCCAGAAAGCGTTCTTTATAAAGCAGCCTTTCAGGTTAGAGCGCGTGCAGCCAGCCCTGTCTTCAGACTTGCTTGACGAGACTTGCGACCACTGGTCAGGCTGGATGAGCATCTTGATGAGAGGTTGCCTGCGCCACAGGCATTGTCTTCAGACCTCGTTGCAGAACAGCTTGGCATGCACGAGTCAAACATCGGCCGTCACGGCAGTTTTCCTTCAGGATGGCGTCACTCTGCCCACACAGCGGGATGTCCTCCTGCAGTGGTCTTCTCCAAATCCTTGCACCTAGAACCATTTTTTCCCCTTTTTTTCTTCCTTCAGTCAGCCCTGTCGTTAGGCAGGCTTCTTACCTTGTATCACAGGATCTCTTTCCCTGTGCTGTGTGCTTTATTTCTTCAAATGGCAAGTGAGTTTCTTCTTGTACCAGGGCACGTTAGACAGGCCCACAGTGCTTTCTCTGGAATGGTTGGGGCTGTGTGTGTTTCAGAGTTCAGAACGGTTCAGGTTTTAGGAAGGTAGTACGATGTATAAGAGGTGTATTATGTACTCCCCAGGTGGAGTCTAGGACGGCAGCCTGTAATCAGGCACATTCACAGAGCTCTCCAGAGAAAGGTGAGTATTCACAGTAAGTGGGATGAGTTAAGATTATAAATAGCCATGACTCAGTTTAGGTCAGATTTTGCCGCTCATTGAATATTGACATCAAGCTTAAGAGAAAACCCAGGTTTCATAATGTTTTGGATTTCAGCATTCCGGATAAGGAATTAGGAACGTACGCTGCATTTCACATGCCATAACCCCAGGCTGT